CTCCAGCCAACGACTGAATTCGACTTGCTATCTAGGTAGTATCGGAAAACTGCAACTTCGATTTTGGGGACCTCCCGGAATGGGGCTCTGCAGTGACATCAATTAATGCTCTGAGCGTCAGCCCAAGCAGGTGCTGGGTTTGCGAGAAGTCGGCTTCGATTTTATGAGACTGGATATGAGATTATTTTCCCTGTCAGATTTGCCCTTTGTAATTATCCCCACATATTTAACCAAATTTCAAAGATTCACACATACGCACAGTTTTATTCGTTTGTGTTTATGTGTGCAGAATTCAACCGCACACCGACAATGTCCACACGCACTCAGTTTAACCCGTACAAGTTTGCGCGAGTCGTGGTTAACCGTTGTTCCAGTCCCCCACACAAGCACAACTTTACCCGCCTGCGTTTGCTCGACTCGCGTTAACTCTGTCCCGCAGGGGCCCATAGACGCATCGTTTAACCAGTTCATGTTTAAATGTATCCGGAACGCGTGGTTTTACACCTCATTGGAAGACTCCTGCTTAAAAGTTTTCTCGAAGAAATCCATAAACGCATAGTTTTTTGCCAGGCTACTTGTACGCATCGTGTGTAACCGTCTTCCGATAGGAACAGTGGCTTTGCGGTGAGTTGTTATTGGCATTTAAAATGAAATAATTATAAGAGATGCCATTGCCTACAGTATTATTTATTTCAATAGCAACTTTACATGGATTAGCCGACATCAGTTTACTGCTGTATGGAAGCCACACGACTATGCCTCTTAATGATAACCTATTAGTCATTTTCAAGAAATAGGGTGTGACTTCCATACAGTAGAAAACTGGTGATGATGGGTTAAGCCATTGGAAGCTGCTATTGAAATTAATAATACTGTTGGCAATGACAACTCTTATAACTATTTCTCTCAGGAATCGAAAAATGCTCATTTTCATAGTCATTAATTGCGCGTCTCCTGTTTAATCGTTCCCCAAAGGCACACACAAGTTTTACTCTTCTTGATTTCCGCGCCTGGTGGTTAATCATTTTCCGGTAGAAAGCCAAAACGCAAACAGTTTCACTCGTCATTATTTACTCACAGCGCGTTTAAATGTCCCAAAAAAACAACAACAACTCATAAACACTCCGTTTTCCCCGTGACTAATTGCGCGTTTCGAGTTTAGCTGTTCCCCAAAGGCATCCACAAACTCAGTTTTACCAGTTTGTTAGCACGTCTAGTGTTTAACCGTTTTCCCATAGGAATCAGAAACTCACATTTTTACTCTTAATTTGTAACACGCCGTGCGCGAAACACGTTTTTTCATGGTTGTTTTCCGTGTGCAAAAAAATTAATATTTTCACATCGTGCGAAGTGTGTGCGAAACATCTGTAGCGAGTGGTAATCGTCTGCAGTTTATTATTTACAAAATATAGTGTTATGACTGACTGGAATCCATTTTCTTTTTTACAAGTAAGGTACTTCTAGTTATTTGATATTTAATATATATTCTTTTACTTGACAGATTTCGTTTTTCGCACGGCGTATTAAAAATCAGTATACGCAACTCGGGCGCGAGGCGATTCCCGCACTCAGCTCTTTGTCGTCGGGCGACAAACGACTCGCGCGTGAATCACCTGTTACGTAACTTTCTATATGCACCTCGTGTTTCCTTTTCCGGAAAAGCACCCACATAGGCATAGTTTTACCCGGCATTATTAGCGTACATCGTTCTCAACCTTTCCTCCGAAAGCATCACCGCAAATGCCAGTCGTTAGAGCGTTTACCATTTCCCCGTGCCTCGAAGACGCAAACTTTGTTTTAGCGCGGACCGGCGTCTTAGTTCAGCAGCCCCTTCCCCAAGCCCCCTGGACGTAACTCAGACGCGGATTTAGTTTGAGCGAAGGCACATCGCGATATGCCATCTGCAAAACATCGGATCTTCTTGGAACAGGGCTGTGTCCACATAACTTCAATGAATTTGAATTGAACCGAACCGTGAATCTTTCCCTCAAATTCAGGAACCGACGAAATGTTTTCGTGGCAGGTTCTGCATACAGATGTTCCTTTCGGTCGGGAATAGACGGACAGAACAGGCATCCCGTATTCAGAGTGTGTATTTGTCTCGTATGAAACAGGTCCGTTGCCAAAATTTAGGGGCCGCAAAGACCATCAAAGTTATTTTATTATTAATTTATTTGATTTTTATTTATAATTTGATTTAAAATTTGACTTTAAAATTTGGTAAATTTATAATTTTGTTGTTTTTTTATTAATAAAATATTTGAGCATATCAACTTGGTGTGTGAATATTTTATTTATATATTGATATTTCATACTGTATTACTTCAAATACGCGTGAGATCGTGTGGATCATTTGATAGTGTTATCAGTGCCGCCAACTTCGTTGCGATAAAAGGGCGTCCAGTTCTCAGGGACGCCCAGCCCTTTCAATCGCTTCTGAAAAGCACCACCGATTGAGAAAAGAAAACTTCCAGTTTCAAGCACAGCGCAGCCCAATTACTTTCAATCTAAGAAACCCGGAGAAATAAGAAATAATTATAAAAATATTAGGACTGCAATATTGCAGTATGATCTTTTTGAATTAAAAAAAAATTACATACTGTGAATTAGAATATACCGACACTGTTTTGAGTATCAAACTATTGTTTAAAAGTAAAAGTTTAAATTAAATGAAAAATATTAAGTAACTTGTATTATTTTATAATAATATATTGATCTATCAAAGAATTGTAACTGATGATTTAAATATTAGTATGTATTCACATTACTGGGTGTATTTTTATTTTCTTCCAATGAGAAAAATAACCTATTTTACCAATTACCTATTTATCTCCAAAAGTTGTCCCTAATAATTATTTTATCATCGTGATGTGAATACACTAGTTTTCCTTGTTTATATCGTCCGCAGGTTCATTTGGGAAAAGTTTTCTAGTAACCCTAGTCAATCAATGCCTGAAAAATGTTTCATGGTAGTTTACACAAGTTTTGATACCATTGGAAATAATTGTTCAATTACAGCATTTACTCGAATATTCACATTCTTTTCATTTAACAAATGTGACCTACAATCGAAGAGAAGGGAAAAAGGCGAGAGTGTGTAATAAAATATTGAAATATTTTTTGATTCTTCTCGTCATTAACTTGTCTATAGGTAAATATATTTATAGAACTTTCTGAAATCACCCGGTTATGCTGTATGAATGGAAGTCTGCAAACATAAAATATAATCATTTTAATAAAGGCATATATACACACCTTTATGTAAAAAACGCTAAATCACATACCTTTAGACGTCATCAAACTCTTTCGAAGAATCCGAAAATCTACTGGTATCTCAAGGTTCAGAGAACATTAATAAACTGGTGGTCAAATCTTCCGTCACGAAGCCGTAGAGTTTAATGGGCGGAAAAAACCTACGTCTACAACAATATATCTTGAAAATATAAAGAGTTATTATATCGAGTGAATAAAGTAATTTTATTAATATCATGACTAGTGAATAACTATGAATTTATTAACTAATTAGTATGTTCAGTTCAATTATAGACAGACCGGAGATTAAAATAAAACAAACCTTTAAAAGTTGATTGGCATTTATTAATACATACTATTTATTGTGTGCTAATAAATGTGAATCAATTTTCAATTTTTTGTTTTATTTTAAGCTTCCGGTTGTCTATAATTGTACGGAACATACTAATTAATTAATAATTTAAAAAGAGTGTCATTATATCATTTTACAACTAATTATGAATGTAGTATAAAACTATTAAAATGGATATCGTGTTCCCATCTGGAGTATAGTATCGTATTTGAAATGGTCCTCAGTCACCAATGATGGTCATCAACGAACCCCTTCGTAGTAATTTTTCCTCTATTCTGTTTACGGAAGGAGTTCCTGTTTCATTGGTAAGAACTTTTATTATGAGAACCATACCTACCGTGTTTCCGTTTCAACGTTGTGAGTGTTTCCTTTTTCAACGCTCTTTTGATTATCACAAATCAATTTCAAACCGTCGCTATACGTTATCTCTTCGTTAAAACTCGGGCTTCTCTTTCAGCCAGGCCTGTCCATTAGCACTTTGTAATTGCACTTGTTTGTCCATTTGCACTTGTTTTAATTTCTTTCAATGTAAACAACCGTTGCGCAAGCGAATCAACACAGTAAATTTTGAACTAGTTCTTACGAAAGGGACATGGCCAACTGTGTCTTAAAACTTAAAAGATTTGTACAGAAACTACCAGAAAATTACTGATATGGCTAAATGCAGGTACAATTTGTTGTGAGGTGTACGAAACCTATCTTCAAATGTATTGCACTCTATGGGGGCTCCGCCATTCCCCTTACCCCATTGGTGCCCTCCGGGTCCCCGAATTGAATCGGTTAGTTTTAAAACCCCGTAAGTAACTCTATTGATTTTCGCTTTTTGTGAGTTCATCGTTCCATGTGTAAATCCAGAACATCAGAGGAATACAATGGCCGAGAGGGCACTGCACAGTTTTGGTTTGCAACTGAAACTGTAAGTAACATTAACTTGCGGGGTATGTATGTATGCATGCGTGCGTGTATGTCATATGCATATATACACAATGTATGACTGGAATATCACTGACATAGATTAGTTGAAAGAAAGTTGAATACAGAAATATTATTCCTATGTACTTTCACAGAAAAACCTATTTCAATCAACTGTTTCAGTCATATAAATCCTATTGATGCAGATACACATTGTCATTTCACATAATATTGTAACAAATTTGTCAAATTACAAACTAAATCTGCAATGTGTACGTATTTACACATTTATTTACGTAGATAATTCAGCATTAGAGTATGTATACATATTTCCTCGTCACATTTAGATTCATCATGTTGATTCTCATTATTTGACGCGGCACGTACTATGTTGAATTCCCAATAATAATAAATAACAAACTGTACTCATGAAAAAATATAGATATAACTATGAAACTGGGTAAAAAATATATATAAAATACAATATAAGCTTGGAAAAAAGTTATCAAGTTTATAAAAAAAATGAATATTTTATTTGTACCTTAAATAAATTGTTTAACAAGCCAAGTCATATATTTAGCTACATCTGTGAACACAATAAAGTTATTAGGATCACAACCACCATCTTCCACTCTCGTCATGCTTAGACTCACTACACCACGAAAATACCATGTTTTGGAACCCCCCTGTCTAGGATTTTCCAAGGAAAAATGTAATCCTCCTCCACTGTCTCCATTGCAGGCTGCCGTTCCTGAAATAAAAATGTTGCATCTTAGCCTCCAAAAGAAAAAAAAGTACTATTCGCGCAAGTTTTCTTGATATTCCACAGCGGGGGGTGCGGGGAGAGAATGCTCCGGCTACGTCACGGCTTAAAAGGGCGTACCAACTGTGGGCGTGAACTTAACTCTCCAAAGCCTGCAAAAATGCTACGATTGTTTTGAAAGTTCGAGGTGGTTGTTGGTAGCATTGTAAATTGGAACGTGCCGTTCCGAGTCGGACCTAAGTATCTCAACGAGCCGTGCGCTGGATGAGGGCTGGGGAGCCCGTGTATCAAGAAAACTTGCGCGAGTAATACGTGCACGAGCCGTAACGTGCACGGCTGTAACAATTAATGATGCGATATCGACGTCGAAAATTAAAATATCGATATTAATAATACTCCGAACAAAACACATCGATGTTTTAAAGCTGGTTTTATAACTTTTAACATTAAATTTGTAAGTAACAAACACCAAATTAATTAGACACAGCCCTAGTATGTTAATTTATAATTAAAATTTAACTAAAACCAGTTAAAAACGCATCCTCGTGTGCGAAATACGAGGAAAAACGAAGATTATCAGGATCATCTCGGGAGAGGAAGTCTGCTCAATAAAGGCCGTGCAAACCCGTTCGTGTGATTCGATCATACAAATAGTGGTGCCGTCTATTATTATTTTTTCAACCAGGAACGAATCATCGAAAACGAAAAAACATCGATGTTAAAAAATTATCGACTCGAATACATTGATGTTTAAACTTCGATATTTTTGAAATGGCGGCGCTGATTTATTCTCCCGCCACCTGCGAGGTTCGGTTCGCGATAAAGTTTCTTAATGCACAACAAACAGGAACCGTTCCGCAGAAGTTCGGTGGGAGCTATTTGATCATTCCCATACAGTCCTGATCTCTCACTCTGCAGTTTGCATCAAGTCCTTCACCTGAAGACATTTCTAGCGTCAGCGTTTCACAACGAAGAAGAGCTGAAATCGACTGTGGTGCTGGTTCTAGTCGCACCCACGAGACCGGTAGGATATGATAAGAGTCTCAATTCGAGTGGTGATTTTGTCTCAAAATAGCTCAAACATTACTGTACCTTTAGCCAATAAAGTTTTGCATATAACTATGTTGTCTATTATTTCATACTATAGGGGAACTTACTTTCTGGATGCGCTACGTAATATTATAAAGTACTTCCATGTAAATATACTTACCATTTCTGAATCCAGCACAAAACGTGTTCTCCGAGGTGTACTCAAAGAAAAATTTATCTGAGCGTAAACAGGTTTCTTGAGACACCACAGGCATCCTGGCAATGCGCAGCGTATCAGATAAAGCTCCTCCTTCATGTCGTCCCCAACCTCCGACCTAAATGAACATTCCACATGTCAATGAACATCTACAATTTATACCTACACTTTTGTTAACAGCTTAGACGTTCTAATGAAAAACGCCTAGGCAATGATATACAAATTTCGTGATTCTCCTTATCTTGCATTTGTGTTAATTGGATCGCTGGTGAGGTAGATACCTTTTTATTATGATAAATAAAGATATTGTCTGGTATCAATACTTTTTATTCAGCTTATGATTCCCACCAGCACCCCCGCGTTTTACGACCCTTCACCCGCACCCCACCCCTCTTCCCGCCCCCTCCCGCTGCCGACCGGCTGTGCTCTTAAACAAGACACACGCTCAAAAATTCGCAGAACTTTGTTTTCGGCCCAGAAACTGCAAGGTATATACGATCCAGTTTGCTTACGCATCTTGCATACAATAACTACAACCTAATAATTAATATTTGTATTTCACATTTTAGCTCTGAGGATGATCGCTACGCGATCGAAATGAACATAAGTTGAATAAAAAGTATTGATACCAGACAATATCTTTATTGATTTACATTTGTGTGTTTATTTTTCGGTACATTTTACTGCTATTGTTTCACATACCTTCTGCGGAATATAAACAATTTATCAAATTCTAATTCTACGACTTTAAAACGTTGGACAATTGCCCTTTTCAGTACTAGTTTTCACCAATATTAAAATAGTTACGTCTATTGAAATATATTTGGAAATATATTGTTGCATACAAACTTTTCTTAGAGCCATAAGCGTCAGCAATAAAAATATGAATCAATGAAGTATTGAATTCAAGTATGCGACATTTCATGGATGGAACTTGTCACAATTTACGATTTTTCCTGTTGAAAATAATGATCTAGGGTGTATCTCATAATTGACCATTTTAGTAAGTTACAAGAAAAAATTGAAAACCATTTGTATTACAGTTACATTCCCTTCTAATACGGAAATAAATAATAGCCATCATGTTTCACAACCGGACAAAAATCCAAAAATATCACACACCAGTTCCTTTTTAACAAGTCGATGGCCGAGAACCAGACAGTTCTAAGTCCGATTTTGTATCGAAATTATATTTTTGTTTCATGGTGTTCTATCTTACTTCATATATGTGTACATGAAACAAAATTGTAAATATTCCACATCAATAGCATTCAACAAACTCATTTCATTCCAACCCATTCCATTCTTACCAACTACATACTAAAACTTTAAACAGCTCCCCTGAAAAATGTATTAAAGTGGACTTAGCCTGATTCCCAGTCATCGAAAAGGCGATTCAATGTTTACTCACCGTTCCTAATTTTCCAACAACGAGATTCAAGTCGACTTCACGATCCCAGAGACAAACGGGTGTCACAAATGTGTTAATCGTAACCACCTCGGTCAAATGAATAACCGCTATGTCATTGCGTAAAGTTGATGATTTGAAGTCGGGATGCACAGCAATTTTTTGTACCTTATGCAAACAAAGGAGATTGGTTAGTGACAATTAAAGCGAAGGAAATAATGACGAAAATAATAATTTAGAGGGCGGATTTACTGTATATGATTTTGCATATTTTGTTTGTTGCTTCAGGACATAGCAGACATTTGGTTAGAATTGGATGCTATGTGGATTAATATGTTAGTGCACATTATGCCACAGTTTGCTTTTTTTCTTTTCAGTAGATGATAATATACTTGTGCAAATGTAAGAAATTTCTTGATATCATTTAACCAACCAGTAAAAATACAACAAGACAAATAATGTACTTCTCTAAGGGCCGTTTGCACCAAACAAAAAGTAGAAGTTTACTCTGGAGTAAATCATGTTTACTCGAGAGTAACTTCTTGGAGCATTTCACCAGCACTTTACTCGAGTGTAAATCGCTTACACGAGCGCAAATTCGAGAGTAACTTTACACTACGAAAATCCGTCGGTTAAAGTACGGAGTAACTTCAGTTTTCAACGTGCATATACTTCCGAAGTGTTGTTACGGTTCGACAATTACGAATGTTAGCATTTGAAGACGATTCCAGTAATGATTCGGAACATTAGTGCGAAGACAAAGGGTGCGAGAGAGAATGGATTGATTTTAATTATGACGATCTAGATTTTGTCATGAGGTTATGTTTGACAAAATCAGATGTTTAACTCCATCAGATACATTGTAAACTGTAGAGAACTTCTAAAGTTCTTTTTCTCCCATGTGAATACGAAATAAAGATAGTACGTACCGAATACGACTACAAAAGGAAAAACAAGTACTACAGGGACTACAAGTACTAATAAATATTCATTTATTTATTCAGTAAAAACTATACGTGACGTATGGGGGAGATCATTTGCGCACGTTTCCTTGAGTTTCAGAATCCTTTCCAACATTTTAACTACAAATAGTTGAAAGGTGAATATAAGATTAAAAATAAAACAACAAATAATAATAAAATTTAGAAGAACACGAGATCAGCAACATTTGAAAAACTAAACATTTTCATTCCCTAGTTATAGAAAATTCAATTGCACCGCCATCAGTAAACGAACTGTAAATTTGATTTTTCTGCATTGCTAACAAAATAGTAACTAGTCTCCAGAGAAGAATAATGAATACTTATTAAGAAATACATAAACAGAAACTAGGAAACAAACTATGCTAACTCAAACCACCATAACACCACACCAGATTATAACGCCAAGAACTCCGAAACTGAAAAATGATAGAATATTAAGGAATTAAAGGTTCGCGTTGGTCCGCATTGGTTCCCAGTGTCATTGTCGCTCACAGCCTCTTGAATCGCTCTCAAATATTGTGTGTTCAGCTGATTTTAGGAGTAAATCGGAGTATGTACTCTAGAGTAAAATAACCCTCTAGAAGCATGGTGAAACGCTCATATTCTACTCGAGAGTTACTTTTTGGGGCTCCTTGGGGTAAATGGTTACTCTCGGGTAACTACTCTCAACTTTACTCGGCTGTTGGTGAAACCGGCCCTAAGGTGAAAATTTTCATCATTTCTCCCGCCAAGAAAGGCATCACAAATATATCTTTTTATTCCAAGCCTGCTTCTCCTGAATGTTATCAAGAAAGGTGAATACCGAAAATTATATATTGCTAATTTTAAGTGCATGTTTCAGAACGTTTAGGTCATAAATATAAATTTTAAAAAACCTTATTTCAAGATGTATTGGAGCAAAAAAGCCTTCTCACTAACAATAAGAATAGAATTTGACGGCGTAAGCCTCATTGACGAATTTTAGAGAAACATTAGTGTCTCGAGAGATGGAAATTACAAGTGGAAACCACCAGCGGGGCACCGCCCCAGACAGGACAAGCTCTAACCTCCCGACCGGTTCCACGCCATGTGTGGTAGTGTAGTGTATATAAGTAAGTGTGTGTGTGTGTGTGTGTGAGTGTATGTGTGTGTGTGTGAGTGTATGTGTGTGTGTGTGAGTGTATGTGTGTGTGTGTGTGTGAGTGTATGTGTGTGTGTGTGTGTGAGTGTATGTGTATGTGTGTGTGTGTGAGTGTATGTGTGTGTGTGTGAGTGTATGTGTGTGTGGTGAGTGTATGTGTGTTGTGTGTGTGAGTGTATGTGTGTGTGTGTGAGTGTATGTGTGTGTGTGTGTGAGTGTATGTGTGTGTGTGAGTGTATGTTGTGTGTGTGTGAGTGTATGTGTGTGTGTGTGAGTGTATGTGTGTGTGTGAGTGTATGTGTGTGTGTGAGTATGTGTGTGTGTGTGAGTGTATGTGTGTGTGTGTATGTGTGGGTGTTGAGTTGTGTGTGTGTGTGTGTGTGTGTGTGAGGGGTGAGAAAGAGACAAGGAAGAGGAAGGAACGATGTCGCGCGGGCGAGGCCCGTTTGTTATGGTACCGCTCCGGCATTCGCCTGACATCACAGCGCCAGAGGCCCTTGTCATTGAGGTGGACCGCTTGAGTATCATCCTCACCATCTTCATTAGAATACTCAGTTTCATAATTTCCCAAGTGTATCGAAGCTCTCAGGCCACAGAAGAGTTGATCCATCTAAAATTCTGTTTTCTGTGGAACTGTTTGATATTATTGGGTATGAATCAAGGTGCTTTGGTTATGGATTTTAGGAAACGATTTTGAAACGTCTGAAGTCTAAGAATGTGAGATTTGGCTGCTGAACCCCAAATAGGACTTACGTGCGTTAGTATTGGTCTTTGTAAAGATGAGTACCAGTTTGAATTTGGAGGGGAGAAGATCGACGAAGTATTGGGAAGAGCTAAGGAGTTCTTTATGTGGCTAGGGCAAATCTATGGGGGATGTGGGGTGTTCAGGTTAGTCGACTATCGAAAAGGACTCCGAGGTATTTGACAGGCGTGTTGGAAGGTAACCAAGGAATGAGTGAAGTTGTATGTCGGCGGCGGAGGTAAGAGGGCTCTGCGTAGAGAGAAGAGTGGCTTGAAATTTGGTACGGTTGAATTTGATACGCCATTTACTAGAAAATTCAGAGATTTGATCTAGGTGGTTTTGAACATCTAGGGTTGTGTCATCCAGTACTTGGTTTGTTGAGTACACAGCTTGGTCATCGGCGAAGAGAGCGAAGGAGGTTGGGGTGGATGGTGAGTTATAAGTAAAAATATTGAAGAGAGTTAGGACAGAGCCTTGAGGTACACCTGATATTATAGGAGCAGGGGCAGAAAGTGCGTCAGTTAAGCATATGGAGAAGGGCCTATTCGTGAGAAAGCTTTTAATTAGGAGTATAAGATACAGCGAGATGCTCAGTTTTGGTAGTTTGAATAATAAGCCAGGGTGCTAATCTGAGTTGTAGCTTTTTCGATATCGAGAAAGACAGCTATTGTATGCGAATATTGGTAAAACCCTTCAAGAATGTCTTCGGTAAGTCTAATAATCGGATGATTTGTTGAGACAAGGGATTGGAAGCCGAATTGATGGCGATGAATGGCTGAAGTTCTGTTGAGGTAAGCTTTTAGGCGAGAAAGAATGCATTTTTCAAAGATTTTGCTGATGGGTGGAAGAAGGATTATGGGCCTATAATTAGATAGAGAGGAGGGGTCTTTACCGGGCTTTACGATGAGTATAACATGTGCGTATTTCCAGGCTGTAGGGAAATAAACTATTCTTAGAGAGGAGTTGAAGATGTGAGTAATGCGTACAATGGCACAGAGGATGTTGTTTAAGAATAAAAGTACAGATTTTATCTGGGCCGAAGGATTTTGGGTGCAATTTGTGCTAGGATAGAAACCACCTTAATGTCGAGATGAATTTAATGAGATGAGGCGCGGTGATTTGTGGGTCGTTTAGTTCATTCTCTATTGTTTGCTTAAATTCTGAATTCTTGGGAGAATGTGGAATAAAGACCGATCCAAAATAGTCTGCTAGGGTTTTGTATAGGAGATGAGGTGAGGGTACAAGGTGTTTGGAGGCAGGGAATATTTCTTAATAAGGGTCGTGTGAGGTTCCAAATCAGAAAGGGGTTCGATGGCGATGATCATGATTTCGAGTGGTTCTCTTGTGACAGATTAGTTTTGGGAGAATTGTAGGAACAGGGGGAGAGGGTTTAGGTGACGAGGAGAGTGTTTAGGTTATGAGGTGAGGATGTGGTTAAATCAAGTGTAGCGAGAATTGCATGGGTTAGTAAAGATATAACTTTATCTATTTCATTTTGAGTGGGTAAGGTTTGTATTGGGTGAAGCAAGAGAGTTAGGAGGGATTGGAGGGGGCTGCAAATTGATTGTATTTAGGTTGAAAGAGAAGAGGGTTTTAATTGAAGAAGTCTAAAGTCCTAGTCTGAAGATGATTGGGCGATGATGGGAGGGTAGCGCAATGTGCGTTTCCATTGCTATGGTTGACTGGAAGTGTAACGATAATCCGAAATCAATTGTGTCAGGTGGTTGGTTTGGTAAGGATGGGTAGCGAGTTGGAGAGAAGGGGGCGTGGATACATTAGCCTAGGTTATTCATGTCATTGAGAAGTCTGATGCCTGCAGGAGTAATGAGGTTTCCACCTCAAGCGGTATGCTTGGCATTAAAGTCACTAACAACGAGTGTAGGTTGACTTTGTCAGAAGAAAGCATTAATGGCGCTGGGTAAGTAGGGAACATTTAGAAGTTTGTAAATGGATGTGATGTTGATAAATGCGCCTGAGGATGAATTCACCGTGATCCGGACACTTTCAAAAGCAGATGAGAGTTTTGTATAACAGTTTGATAGCAGTTGGTTAACACTTTGATAATAGACCATTTGGAATGACAAGGTTGGAACTGACAAAATCGAAAAAAAATAGTTGATAAGTAGAGATAGAATTTTTATATAATTAGTGTTTTTGTTTTTTTTCTTAAGTTCTTTAAATTGTAAGCTTGGAGAATCATCGCCGTCATAACACAATATACAATTTTTTCGTTTCATTATTTTACATATTTAGTACGATTTTACATATTTTGTTATTTTCATAAAATATTTTTTCTATCAATTTTCTTTAATTTTATTGTGTATTTAAAAAAAAACAGAATTTGTTTCTACATCATGTCTCATCGAAGTGTTGCACGTCGGCGATGGCCAAAGTTTCACTAAATTCTGGTTAAAGTTCAGGAAAAGCGGCATCAGGGATACTTTTCGCACTAAAGGGTAAAATGATCTCAGTCGCCGGCGCGCATTTTCCGCTATAGAAGTAATGGAAGCCAAGATATAGAAGGAATGGACTCCAAGAATATTCCCGCGTATCTTCATGTAGCGTACCTCGAGTAGACACTAAGCAGTAATGATGTAGAAACAAATTCTTTTTTTAAAATACTTATTAAAAATATGAAATAAAGTTAAAGAAAATTGATGGACTTTTTTTTTAGAAAACAGCAAAATATGTACAATATGTAATGTACCAAATATGTAAAATTATGTAACGAAAAAATGAGATATTGTGTTACAACGACAATGATTCTGCAAGATTGAAATTTTGATAACTGTAAGAAGAAAAACAAAACAAAACATAATGATATAAAAATACGGTCTCCAGTTATGACAAAAGGATTTTATCAATTTTTATGCTTTTTTAGTAGATTTCCATTTAAGTCAATTTTTACCTTTTTTCGTTATTTTTAAAGCAATTTAGCTGCTTTAATTGATTTTAATATTTTAATAGTGCTTGCTTCAAATAATAATTACAAGATGCAACAAATATCTTCACAGAATTCCCGAGTAGCCTGCTAGATTTCTTCGCTCAAATTGTAATGTCGGCCGTTGAGCGTATGTAATCTAAGATTTCTGACGTCTATCAGTGTCATTGTTGGTTTGGTTGATTTCACGATAACTAAAGACAATGACTTTCTGGTTCAGTCCAAACCAAACGGTTGCAAGGTGAGTTCACTTGAACCAGTGGTAGACATCAGTAACTTATCAAGCAGCAGCTGGAGTTCATCAAATTTTTATATCTTTCTTCTTTGCTTTCTAAGACTTTTAAAAACATTTCAAGAGCATTTTTTGATTATTTTTGATGTTTTACATCATTAAAATCCTCCCCTAATTATCATATTTGAAATTAATAATTTATTGTTATTAATTACATTGTGACACTTACCTGTCTGTGTTGCTCTTCCGTTTCGGCTCTCTTTAGGTTGTGCTTTCCCAACCTCACGTACATGTCTCCAACCGAAATCACTTGCACCTCCCTCTTCTCTTGCAGATTCACGACACAATGCGCAGCTGAAACGTCATCGTAGAAAAATAACAGCTGGCACTTCATTTGATAAAATATACTCAGTAGAAAATTTTACTTACCACTAACAACGTGTCTACGTGACACCAGCGTACCTCCACATTGAAAGCTGAACACTATATTGTAGCTTTCAGTTTCATTTTTTGCGTACAGGGCGGCCTGCCAGGGCCACTGACCCTTCGCTGCTTCAAATCCATTCACCACCAACGCATTGGGAACGTTCGCCACGCCGCACTTCGTGGGGTCCACTAGCGTAGCAGAAAATGAATACAATTATGCATTTGCCGCACAGAACGCATGAAAAAGACCTTACTTTCAATGGGGCATCTCAATTTGAGTGTGTTTTCTTGTTTTACGAATCAATCTATTTCTAACCTTAGCTTACAAAGGCGTCGTCTATCAGACGACGCAACTAGTGCCGAAAGCTTCCCCAGCAGGGCCCTATAACTCCCATATAACGTGGTGGGAACCATTACGGTGGCGCGCTCTGCTGCATCACCTTCTTTACATGAACTAAAACACGAACTGCTGCCAACGATACTTTAAACGTACGCGGCTTCTGTGCGAGTTCGCGGATCGCAAGCAGGCCCATAATGTTGCAAAAGGTAACGTCTGCGTTCGCGCATTCTTCAGAGGTTTCGTATAAGTATAGATTATTAATAATAGTACATTTATAAGACACGAATCGTATTTCTCACAAATTAGCCAATTTGTGTGTGGGAAAGTTGGCGAGCCTAACCTGCAGCTGCACCCGGCGACCCTAGCGTTTCCTATAGTAGCAACCTCGAGCTTTGTCCCCAGTTTTGATGGAGAGTTGCCAGGCCCTGTTTCCCAGCCTCTTCCCCACACTCCCCGTATCTGAAACTCTGTGGGTGGCTAGTCGGTGAAACACGCGTATCGTTGGGGGCGGGTCTCTTTCCGGTGTGCGCCATTTTCATACGCGTTGCCCAGTAGACTACGTCTTTGTATTTACATTAACACATTTTTGGCTAATATCGTAAATAATGTATATAAACGCGTTGTATTGTTGCATTTAAGTTTTCTTCTGAACATTTAGCAATGATAATGGAACGATGGCAATCACAAAAGAGGTCGCGAGACGAGATGCTTCGCGAGGTCAAATCATTGTATCTATAAAAAATTCCCAAATGTATTTTGTAGCTCCAAATCATACATGTCCGATCCATTAAATTTAGTGTTTCCATTGTAAAAATGAGTTTTCCTTTACTTTTACTCAAAGTAGTCTATCTGACTACGCCACTGCAATAATGCTTGGTACAGGTCGCCTTTGTAATCTACAGCTACGACGCTTCGCCATCAGGCTGCCAACTTTTGTGCTCCAAAATTGCTCTTTTACTCAGATTTTATCCGAAAATAACTCACCTCTTTATTTTCCTTCCTGAAAAATGGTGTTTCTTGGAGATATGCCCCTTTGGAAATAAGTTCATTTGAATTTCATTTCCAACGTTGCGTTTAAATTGCATTGTAAATTCTACATTTGTGACACCGAAACTACTCATGCAATTTTTCTTAAGAACAGGTTCCATTAAAAGTTTTAGTAAGCTTTGAATTATTATAAAATAAAATAATTAAACTTAAATTTAACCTTACGTATATGTTTTTCCATTGTTCGACATTTTGAGAGCTTTTGCACCCTCATCTTTGTTGTTTTTTCTAATAACATGTTTTAAGGTCCAACAGAAGAAATCTCTTTATATTAGTTTGTAGCGACTCGTCGGGGAAATTTATCCATTGTTTAATATTGCCTGTTTGTCACGAAAAGTCACCGTGGTAACTGACGCCTGTACATGAGGCAATTAGATTGGATTTAAAGAGACCTGTTCTGTAAGAGAAATGCTATAAGAAGACAGTATAAAATTGTATGAATACTCACACAATGGTTCTCCACTACCTCCTGCAGGCCTTGAAGGACGCGGAGACGGCTTTGGCCGAGGTCTTGGGGTGTCCGGTTCAACCCAAGACTCTGATGGGAATGGATCTGGAAGAAAGTGTCTGTTCAGTCTTACTCAACGAGGGATCTCTCAAAATTAAATTCACCTCAAAGTTTGGAAAAATATCTGATATTAACTTCCTTCCAAAATTTAATTTAAAACAACACTGTGACTACTCTTTAGAAAATATATGGAAACGGTATTTGAGAACATTCTTCACAAAATTGGTTGGGAATTAATATTATACAAGCACAAAGATTATATTCGGTCTGTGTCCTTTGATACATAAGAGAAGATTTTTAAAAAATTGGAGTAGCTTTCGGGAAAAAATTAAAAAGTGCCTATATTTTTCGCAAATAATTACGCAGAAATTACCCATATTTTCGAAATTTGTACATGGCTATTTCAAGATTAAAAACAACTGATTTTATTAAGTAGTATAATAATTAAATTTTTTCAAAGAATCGGTTGCCCCGTCCGGGAATCTAACATTGGCCAGCTGCTCTAACCCCTAAGCTGCCGAGTCAACAAATCCTTTGAACAGTTTCCACGAGCGCGATTTTCGCTCCTTGTTTATGCTATATACAATTGTCACCATCCCGTCACCTTGTTTGACGCAAGTCAACGCTCTATATAGAATTACACGCTATATAAATGGCGTGTTTACAATTTGATTGGTTTTAAATAGTTAGTATGCTATATTCTAAATTAATGGTATCGTCGGTAACCAAATGTCGGGAACTGTTTAACTTGGCTAGAGTGAATCAAGGTTCAAGGGCACAATATCACGAATTCTTAATAATTCTATTCAAGTCTGTTGCAAGGATATCGTAAACCAATTCTATTTTTCAGAAAAGTGAAAAAAAAATCACGTAAGGTGCATTTCACATTGTTACACTTTTGACACTTTTCTTTGTAACCCATCGTTTCGAAAATGTTTCTAAACAAACGTGAAATGTATTTATTTGTCCCAAATCGAGATAACATATTCAGGGGCTCACATCTTTGCAATAATTGTACTTTGATTATTCACGCATGTGTTCGACCTTCCCGTCTTTCCGAAGCTGCTGTGTAAACACCCGCTTTTATGCACGCATGCCCTCCGAGGCAACTTGCCGAAACTGACGACAGATAGCGGCGACGCACGGCGATTTCACGCTTACAGAGGCGCTACAATCTAAACACAGTTTGTGTTTCGTGTTTATTGTTAATATTAAACCAATAATGAAAAAATCTGCCTTTAATATTTAATTTTATGAAATTAAGACTATAATAAAATACAAATCAATTGCTTACCTATATTGATTTAGAAGTAGAGTTACATAAGCTACCAATGCGGAAAAAATATCGTTGGTCAGGAAGATGCTATTTTTAACGTTTAACTTTATCAACTTTCACAAAGTTTCAGAGAAAGTACGGAGTAATTAACATTTCCTACAATCGCAAAACTTTCAACCGAAAAATAGGTCCTCTTTTTGCTGGTCCGGATCATTACGCCACCGCCACCGCCACCGCCCTCTCCCCGTCAGCCGCTGGCTGCCGAGTGGACGGAAATGTTCATGGGCAGCACTTACTCCCTTGCGGAGCGGGCGCGACGCACGGTGGTGCGGGCGCGAAGGGGGGCCGGGTGCGGGCGCGGCGCGGGGGGGGGTTCCGGGTCCGAGGCGTCGGGTCGTCGCCCCCTGCCCCTCCCGGCCGCAGAGAACTCGTAGCCGCTCACCTGCGGTGCGCCGCTCACCCCGGTGCTGAGCGCCGACTCGAGGCTGATGGTGGAGAGCGCGTCCGACTCGGCGCCTGAAACGCACACGCGGGCAGGTCAGGGCACGCACATGGACTCCAAGCAATTGCTTCTTTCAATCCAGCCCTATTTATTGCATGACTACACGTTTTGAAGACGATCGACGTTAGGAGAGAGAGTTTTCACATTTGTACGAATGCATAAAGAAACATTATAAACCAGTTGCATACGCTATTTTTTGTATAACAGCATTATGAATTTATACGAGAATCAAAGTTAATTTACCGAAACTACATTTTTGCGACGTCTCGGTTATTTGATATCTGTGCAAGAAAGCTGTGTTCCGCTGTTCCGTTTACCGCTACCTCCACACGATTCTCTCGCTGCGATTGGCTGAACGTGTGATGATTCAATCGTTAGTGCTGCAAAATTCTAAATGTCATCAATTGTGCCATAAAATGCCCGATTATGAACGATTTCTTGCACTAGAAAAGGTTCTTTTATAATACTGGTATACGAAAAAAGAATTAGAACTCGAGAAAATTGATTTCGTAATTTTATAAGTCGCGGTACAGCTGTCTGATACTCCATAAAATTTTCAATTAATTTTTTACCTCAAGTAGTTAATTATAGTCATAGTAGTGTATTTTTTATGGCGAACAGAGTTTAAAAATAATCTTTATCCTCCAGAAGGAACAGAACATTAATGATACGAGGTAGATCATAAGGTAAGATTCCTCTAGGCAGTCAACGAAACAATACAACAATTTCACGAGAATACTTTTTGTAGCAGAAACTCGTTGCATTAATTTTTTTTTTCACATAACAACCACCAGAACCGAGACACGTGGCGTAGCATGAGATCAACGAGTCATCCACGCTTGCCCCCCGGGACAGCTAATTGCATCTCAGTCGCCATCGCGTCATGATGACCAGGCAGGAGTTTCTGGAGGGACAAGAGAAGATGGAAATCGCTGGCGGCTGCACCGCACACTCTTGAGAATGAACAAACATCTCCCGCCGGATCTGCGCACAATATCTATTGCGAACAGAGCTCCACTGCTGCTCATAAGCTCTTGGACGCTACTAATAATTTCAATTTGATTTTATACACTGTGGTCATTGACTATTACATTAGAGACACATCTTAACCTCAAAAATACGAGTACATATATTTACAATAAACTGAAACATTGTAAATTAGGTGGTGCCATAGAATGGTACATAATTTATCGTATTAATTTTCTATTCTCTTTGGTCTGGGCTAACTTGACCCATCCTCTTGCCAGCGCCATCTATCGCCGCTCAAAGTAATGTTTTGGAAATTGTCAATTTTTAGGTTTTCTAATAGCAGAACCGAATTATTACGTCAAGATATTAAAGACTAGTAAAATATTGTCCTAAATGACAATTTTCATTGAAATATTGTAGCAGTTTTTAAGAAAATGGTGTTTAAACCTTACTGTGAACGCGAATTTTGAATCTCTTTTCACAGAATATTATTGAGTTTTTGAAAAACTTCATATCAAGTCATTTAAAGTACTTCTAGTGACAAATGCAATAGTGGTTACAACTTACTCTAAATGGCATACTAAAGGCGTGAGAAATCGCTTTTGACATTTTAACGAAAGTTTTGGGTTCACCAGATACCGAAAAAGTGTTTTTTAAACGTCCGTCCTAAGTTTTGAAATTTGAAAAATTTCTTTAAAATAGGGGTACTTTACCTGAAGCCCCCCGGACATTTTCAAAATTTTCTCAAAAGCCGCCCCAAATTTTTTCTTTAAACTTTTTTTTAAAAAAATGGAGTAAAATACTCTTATCAAGGAGGTATATGGCCGATTTTCACTGATAACAATGATTTTTCGAAAATTGCATTATACTGAATTTTTTTCGGCGTCGTCCTACCACAACAATAATGAAGATGAAGATGTTTTTCTTCAAATAAAATTTGTTGTCCATAGTTAGTTCTTTCATGAAGTTGATGTACACATTTTTATAAACAATTTAGTAATTTTCGCGTAATATTGCGAGATTATGAGCAAATTTTAAAAAATTACAAGAACAAGATTTTCTCAAAAACGCTTCCAAATTTTTCTTTGAACTTTAGGGAGGGATAGTGCTAAATGCACTCTATAAGATGACTTAAACGCCATTATTACTCAATTCTTTTGTTTTTTCAAAAATTACAAAAATGTAATTTTTTGACTTCTCTCACGATGTTAATATTTTTACTAGCGGTAATTTGTTCACATTGTTGTATTTATGAGTACATATGCATTAAACAATATCAGATAACATTTCGCAAAAACTCAAGCGTTTTGTGTGAAAAGTAGCTCCAAATTCCGCACTTTCAGAAACGCTCAAACGTCCTTTTCGTAAACACATCTACACGTTTTTTTAACTTTTCGAACGGATAGTGCTAATTGTACTCTAATATGACGTAAAGCTCATTTCGGGGTATTTTTTTTAATTACCCAAACGTAATTTGTTTAAAAGATCTATCACGCCGTTAACATACACATTTCCAGCAAACACTATTGTATTTCTGAGTTAAAGTACTTCAAATGAATTCAAACGTAATTTTTCGAGAACTCAAAAATGTTCTGTAAAATAAAGTTTCATTTTCTTGAAAATGGCTGCAAAGTTTTCAAAGAAAATTGCAATTTTGGTCGAGGTTTTACTGTCTCTTAATACTACATACAATAATATTCCCGTTTTATCATTAGGAAAATATTAAGAAAATGTCAACAAAAAATGTACTTCGGCAGCGATAGATAGCAGTTGGCAAGAGTATTTGGCAAATTCATGTATCTAGCCGACACCAAAGAAAATAGAATAATAAAACGAGAAAGCCTGTCCCATTCCGTAACACCACTAGTTTTCATTATCAGGGCTAGGCAATCATTTTTTTCTTCCGAAAATCAACTGTTTTTACGCGCAGCATTACATAACTTTCTATACTACCAATATTGCTCCGTATATACGTACGTATACAAAAAAGTAAACTCTTTATTTGTTAAGCTGCCTTCTCAAAGAAAATACACCCCTTCCTGGAATAACTTACTTGATGATTTTACGCATCGCATTCATGAGTTTATCGCAAATAGTTCAATGAATTATTTCACAAAACCTGTTGTTCGAGGCATTTTTCAATTTTGAACCACCATGAGCCAAAAACCGTGCTATATCTACGGACCGAGCACACGAGCGCAATGTGTACCTTTCCCAGCCACCTAACACTTCGCACCAATAAATAAAATACTCTCGTGCGAGGATACAAGGATACCTAAGTAATGTTTATGTACACAAGATAAATTGAGACAAAGTTCGTACTTCAGTGTCCTCGGTTTTGGTTGCACTATCAAGGCTAAAAACAGCTCATCAAAACAAAAAAAAAACTAATTTAAAACTTAAAACTTAACTCCAAAAAGTTTTGACCTCCAGTGTATGTGTAGACGACCGTATGGCCAAGTCACAAGGATAGAAATATTGACCCCCCTCGGTATGAAATAAATACGTGTCTGGTGGTAACTAACTTTAAACTGAGCAACATATGGTGCAGCATCTATAATATAGCGTTTTAACGAGAAATTGTGTGTTCTTTTTGTTGACGACCTACGAAAACTTGCTTTTTAATAAGCCTGGCGCCAAACGCGTTTCTCGTGCTTTTTTCCGAGTACAAAACAGCTAATTTTTTCACAGCGTGCGAAACATCTGTAACGATTCGCAATTGTCTTTCATCTTCACATCTTTGATATTTACAATCAATAGTGTTTCGATACAGACTGGAATCCATTTAGTTTTGCACAAGTAAGGTGTTTCTAGTTTTTTTTGATATTCAATTTATATTCCTTTACTTGACGCATTGCGTTTCACTCAGGGCGTGTTAAAATAGTTATTTTCATATTAAGTGTATCTCGACCGTGAAATAATGAAATTTCACACACAAAATATGAATAACACGTTTTCTACAACAGAATAAAAATATTTAAAAAAGTGTGACCTTTTATTGAAAAAAAAGGATGACAATATTGAGATGACTATCTATAGACTTCTTTTCGCGGAAACCAGATAGTTGCCCTGGCAATAACCTATTATTAATGGATATCTAAAAATGCCGAACTTGACACATGGCTACCGCTGAACAGAAGTTTCCTTTATATGCAGTTGTAGATAAAATAGTATTTTCTACACGGCGCGAGGTAATTCCCGCTCTCACTAAGCTCGGGCGACACACTCGCCTCGTGCGTGAATCCCTTGTTTCGCGCCCGTGTTACGAAAACCTCTGTACTGGTCGCCCCTCATATTTCCCTCCAAACCGATGGCGTACGAGTAGACGAGTAGCCTCCTTAGGCCATCTAGCGGTTAGGGCGAAAGTCGCTTCATTTCACTAAGGAGGTTCGGGGTCGACGCTGGACAATCTCGTGTGAAGTATGTTCCGACAAAACGAGCTTAGCTGCTTCTCAGGGGGCTAGTCCAACTCCCGAGCAGCGTCCTAGACCCTACCACTGTACTTCCCGATTCTGGCTAGTGGGTAGTGATGCAGGGCGGCTTGTAAAGGGGGCGAGAGGTTATCTGGCGGTCCACTTGACAACAGATACCCTAACGTTAATAGTAGTTTAAGTAATAAGAGCGATAAACATATGATTCACGCAGGAGTCATAGTTTTTCACATTGAGGCGAGTACGGGAAGACCTCGTGCCCGTGTGGCCTATACTTCTTTTAACACGCCTTAGTGAAACGCAATGCGTCAAGTAAAGGAATATAAACTGAATATCAAATAATTAGAAATACCTTACTTGTACAAAAGTAAATGGGTTCCAGACAATGTCATAACACTATTGTTTGTAAATAACAAACAAAGATGTCAAGACGAAATACAATAGCGAATCGTTACAGATGTTTCCCATACTGTAAATATGATGGCTGTTTTGTACACGAAAAAAAAACGAAGATCGCGCACGGCATTTTAAAAAGTCAATAATGTGCTGGCTAATGAGCTCGTAGTTGATGCAAACTTAAAAAAAAAAAAACTCTCACCGCGCGCGCGGCAGACGTCGTAGTCGTTGACGGTGAGCGCGAGCAGCGACGGCACGGGCTTGCCGGGCGGGAAGCGCAGGTAAAACTGCAGCACATGGCGGCGGCCGCTGACGACGGCGCGAGTCGCCTCCATGGCGGCTTCACGCCCGCCCTTCACCACCAGCGCCCCGGCCTCGTGCTGCCCCACCGGCACCGGCGAGCTCAGCCGCGCCGACAGCCGCACCTCCGCGTACCTGCGGACACGTGCCAGGGGGGGGGGGGAGTTTGGACTTCATCGGGAGACCGTCGCCTCATCCGCTGCTCACCCGCCAGGTGAGCTTCTCGTCTTCTTTGAACATGCTCATTTTTAATATATTGGCTTTCCAATTCCTATCTGCCCTCGCTCCCTGCCGGCATCTACCGTATGAGGTGGACTTCATCCGGGCAAACGTCGGCCTCATCCGCCTGCTCACCCGCCCAGGTGAGCTCTCGTTCTTTCTTGGACATGCTCATTTATTAAATAATATTGGCTTTCCCATTCCTATCCTGCCCTCTCTCCCTGCCCGGCCAGTCTACCTCGTATAGGTGGACTCATCGGGCAGACCGTCGGCCTCATCCGCCTGTCTCACCTCCCCAGGTGAAGCTCTCTTCTTCTGTTGACCAGCTCATTTATTACATATATTGGCTTCTTCCGCAATTCCTATTCTGCCCTCGTCCCTCCCTGCCAGCCACCTCGTATGAGGTGGACTCTCGGCAGACCCGTCGCCTCATCTCGCCTGCTCACCCCGCCCAGTGTGAGCTCTCGTTCTTCTTTGGAATGCTCATTTATTAATATTTCATTGGTTTCCAAGTTCCTATTTCTGCCCCTCGCTCCCTGCGGCCATCTACTTCGTATGAGGTGACTCATCCGGGCACGACCGTCGGCCTCATCCGCCTGCTCACCCCGCCCAGTAGCTCTCGTTCTTCTTTGGACATGCTCATTTATTAATAAATTGGCTTTCCCAATTCCTATCCTGCCCTCGCCTCCCTGCCGGCATCTATCGTAGAGGTGGAATTCATCGGGCAGACCGTCGGCCTCATCCGCCTGCTCACCCCGCCAGGTGAGCTCTCGTTCTTCTTTGACATGCTCATTTATTAATATATTGGTTTTCCATTCCTATCCTGCCTCGTCTCCCTGCCCGGCCATCTACTCGTATGAGGTGGACTCATCCGGCAGACCGTCGCCTCATCCGCCTGCTCACCCCGCCCAGGTGAGCTCTCGTTCTTCTTTGGACATGCTCATTTTTAAAATATATTGGCTTTTCCCAATTCCTATTCCTGCCCTCGTCTCCCTGCCGGCCAACTACTCGTTAGAGGTGACTCATCCGGGCAGACCGTCGGCCTCATCCGCCTGCTCACCCCGCCAGGTGAGCTCTCGTTCTTCTTTGACATGCTCATTTATTAAATATTGGCTTTTCCCAATTCCTATCCTGCCCTCGTCTCCCTGCCCGCCATCTACTCCTACGAGTGGACTCATCCGGGCAGACGTCGGCCTCATCCGCCTGCTCACCCGCCCAGGTAGCTCTCGTTCTTCTTTGGACATGCTCATTTATTAATATATTGGTTTTCCAATTCCTATCTGCCCTCGTTCTCCCGCGGCCATCTACTCGCTACGAGGTGGACTCATCCGGCAGACGTCGGCTCATTCCGCCTGCTCACCCGCCCAGGTGAGCTCTCGTTCTTCTTTGGACATGCTCATTTATTAATATATTGTTTCCCATTCCTATCTGCCCTCGTCTCCCTTGCCCGGCCATCTACTACGAGAGTGACTCATCGCGGCAGACCCGTCGGCCTCATCCGCCTGCTCACCCCGCCCAGTGAGCTCTCGTTCTTCTTTGGACCATGCTCATTTAATTAATATATTGGCTTTCCAATTCCTATTCCTGCCCCTCGCTCTCCTGCCGGCCATCTACTACGAAGTGGACTCATCCGGGCAGACCGTCGTGGCCTCATCCGCCTAGGCTCACCCCCCGGCCCAGGCGTGAGCCTCTCGTCTCTCATTAGTAGACTCGTGCATAATTATAATTGTTTTGATTCAAATTCCTTTCTTCCACACTTGACCATAGAAGTGTTTGCTGCTATTAGCGTAATCAATATTTCTTTCCTTCGCCAAATTTTTAGACACTCACATCCCTGCTTTCGTGGTTTTGTAATTTATTAATCCAAGGCCCGGAGTGGCCCGCCGGAGTGGCCCGAACCCCGAGTGCCGCCCGAGTGCCGCCCAGTGCCGCCCGAGTGCCGCCCGGAGTGGCGCCCGAGTGCCCGCCGAGTGGCGCTAGGCCGCGAGTGCCGCGGCCGACGGCGCAGTGACGCGCCGACGCCGAGTGGCCGTTGGCCGCGCCGGTGCGCCCGTTTCCGCCGAGTGGCCGCCGAGGGCCGCCGAAGTGGCGCCCGAGTGGCCGCCCGAAGTGGCCGGCCGAGTGGCCTGCCCGAGTGGCCGCCGCGAGTGGCCGCCCTTGAGCCCT